TGAGATTTTCCAAGAATCCTCGTCGATACAGGCTTATAGCAACTAAAACTTGGAAGGGCGCAAAAACAAGGGTGAGTGGGCCTGAAAATAAAGTTTTTAATAAAAACCTTTGGAAAATGTTATAACCCCTCGCCGTAAAACCCGTATAATTTCTCAGAAAATAATAATACATACGTATATAGAAATCATGCTCAAGAGTAGTGAAAACCGAGTATATGCCATGTCAAGTATATTAGCAATAAAATAAGTAAGCCAGGTGAAATAAATCAATGTAAAATGATATGCCAGCCGGAGTCACCTAACGTGACATGTACGGCTGAACATATAGCTTATTAACCAATTCCTGCACAAGAGTCGAAACCACTTAATGTGGTCTGTATTACAGGGCTGGGTGTAAATAAGTACGCTTAAGTGCTACGTTCACGTGAAGGCTGTGCGAATAATCGCAAGGTCACCCACGAGTTGGAACCACCTATTGTAGTATGTACGATAGGGCTGTGCACCAAACTTGGATCCAAGGTAAGTGTGCAGTGTAGGGGTGAACATCACGTGAAGGACTATGTCTTGGCCACGGGTGGGAGCACTAACACTAGGGTGCAGGATAATGAGCTCTACATGCCTCTACGTATAACCATAACCAATGCAACCACTAACATTATACAGTACTCACCTGAAACTTACATAGGCGTCCGCAGCGTCATGCAATAATATGCATATCTATACTAATGCATATACTAAAATGTAATGCAATTGACATGACATTTGAAAACGTAATTCCATTTAAAACCATTTCTGGGAAAATGAAAAACATATATACGTATATATAGAAAACCAAAAGCCCACTCACCTAGAGTCCGCGCTACAACTCCCTAGCACAAATATCAAGGTGTCACGAACGAGCGGCGCCTAGAACAATTATCAAATCATGACTTAGAATTTTTATCAATAGAACATATAATTTACATATCCTATTTAGGAAGATTCGTAGGTCAAATTCCCGATCCGTAAGTTTCTAATATCCTCAAATATTACGTATTATAACGTATCAAAATTTGATGACAATCCAACGGTCGGATCGTCAATTGCTATAATAATCAAGTGGTGGACCTTAATGGAACTAAGTTCAAACGACGGAAATTCATCAATCAAACTTCACCAATGGAATCAGGGTATTCAAATTTAGCTTAGGAAGGTCAGGGGACATCTCGGCCCATGCGCCGCAGTAGGTGGCGGTTGGTCGCCTCGACTTGCCGAAAAATTTAACTATTTCTAAAAATTCTCAAACTTCATAGAAATGAAGATCTCAGTGAATAGAGCAACTTTCATACCTGTGACTAAGGCCAATTCGACCGGGAAACACTTCAAATTCCCCTCGATCCGTCTGAAACCCTATAAAGGGTGATTCTTGATTCGTCTTCAAATTGACTCCGACGCTCCAACCAATGATTGGGCTTTGTTTCTGGGTTCATAGAGAGTCTATTAGTAGTGTTAATTGAATGGAAATGTTTTAGGTTTGGTGGATCTCGATTGAGGGTCCTCACGGCACCCATGGTTCCCGTCAGGATGTTTTCCCCAAAATACAACCAAATTCATTATAATTTTAGGTGGAAAAGGAAAAGGGAGGGTAGTGAAATGTTTTCCAGGTGATGGATGGTGACGATTTGACGGAAAAACCAACGGAAACTGCCGAAAAAATGAAGGAACCCGGTCTGGTCGCGAGTCAATGGGGAACCTAGCGGGTTCCTCTCATTTTCCTCCTTTCCTCTTTTCCCATTGGTTCTCCTCCTTTTCTCCCTTCCCCATTGGTCTGGTTCCTCCCTCCTTTCTCTCCTTTATCCTCCATCTCCATTGACCATCTTTCTTTCTTTTAATCTGGGCCACACACGTGGCTCCACTAGATTTTGCTCCAAAAATCTGGGGCATTCCAGAAAATAACTAAATTACTAAAATGCCCCCGACTTTAAACGTTAATATCTCCTTCGCTATAACTCCAAATCATGATCCGTTTACGCCCACACGTCTGTAGCAACGAGTACTACAGGAATGCACCAAGAAAATGAACCTTACGTGACACGACACAATAGTCAACACTTTGTCTCGAAGGGCATTTTCGTAAATTCATCTTTTAAAAATTATAATAATTATAATAATTGGGAATGGGTCGTTACACAAAACCTTACATTGGGTTTACAAAGGCTTCACAAAAAAGACAAAAAAAAAAAAAAAAAAAAAAGAAACCCTAAAACAAAAAACTTACAACTGAAGTAGATTGTTCCAAGGGTATTTGTATAAGTAAAACAAAAATGAAAAATAAATAAAAGAAATTCAAACGTGGAAAAAGGAGAAAACTCCACCACATTCCATGCAAACTAGTTTCTCTCATGCTGTTTAGCTTCCACAAATCCCATCTCAAGCATTTCACTCTTATTTGATTTTCAATCTCATCTAGATTCTAATGTGTGCAGTGTAATTACACCTACCTTGATCATGCAAAAAAGAGAGAGACTCCATGGAATTTGCTGAAAGTCAAATCTGAATTGGTGGGTTCTTCAATCACCATTATGAAGTTTACCTTTTCATTCTATTGGCACCACAATGCTCAAGTAATTCGATTGAGTGGTCATTTTCTTCTTTTGGTGCAGAATTATGAAGAAGGATTGGGTTTTAGAGAATAATAGTAGCCTTTGCAAAATTTTAGATCACCTTTTTGGTGATTTTATTAGACTAACTCCAATGGTTGGGTTAAAACTCAAAATTTAAGTATTAAATTCACCCAAACTTCTCCAATCATTGGGCTACAAAAAGGTTTTGTTAAACTTACTTTTGGGACAAATTTAACCCAGAAAATGAGCCAAGATTAGTGGTTGGGACCCAATTGCTAACTCTGCCGGCCACTTGCGTAAAGACCAACGACTATTTTTTTTTATCAAACCCACGTGGTTGGACTGTGAAAAGAAAATCTAACAACCCAAACTTAAATTCAAAATTCACCAAAAAACTCTATAAATACCTATTATTTGTTCAAACATCCATACAAAGTCCACTTTCGCCAAACAATTCTTCCTTTATTTTTTCTTTTTATCCGCCTATGCATTTGTGTTTAAGAATGGCGTAGGTTGTATGGTTTTACATGTTCTTTCATGTGGTGCATATGCGTAAGAATGATGTATGTTTAGTGATTTTTCATTATCGATGAATTTAAATATATTCTAGCTAAAATAACTATAAAAATAAATTAAGATAATATACGTTAATTTTATCTTTAACCCAACCACTGGAGTTGGTTTTAGGTAAGGTCTGATATTTTTCTCACTATTCTAAAAATCCCCGCCTAGCGCCGCCTAGGCGCTAGGTGGCTGGTCACCTCCCCGATTAATGCCTAGGCGTTTGAAAATTAAGAAAGGGCACCTAGACCGCCTAGGCACCTGCATGGCCCACCCAAACCTGCCTAGGTTGCGACTCACTTAGACAGAAAATAGATAACTTTCAGTTTGTATTTAATTTGTTACAATAAATTGTAAGAGACTTGTTAAATACTTAAATGAGCACACATTATATGCTTGTTCCCCATGTTTTTATTATGTTCCAATACTTCAAAATACATATGTCATTCTATTTTGTAGTTTATGACAAAATTATAAATATTTTAAGTATAAACAGACACTTATTTACATGAAATATAATATATTTACTTAAATCCGTCTAGACCCCGTCTAGCCGTCTAGCCGTCTAGGCGCTAGACTTCAGCTCGCCGTCCGACTAACACCTAGCGTCTTTTAGAAATATTTCTCTTCTTTACTTTTATTCCATCGAAAGGCATTTTTATTCCAAGAAACATTGCAAAAGGACAATAAAAAAGCAAAAGCGGTGATGGGTCATTGAAGTGAAGCATTAAGCATGAAGTTCATTTGTATGGGCAAACCAGTGGTGGTTTGATTCTTTTATCTTTTTCCAATTCTACATTCTGTTTTTTACTGCTATTTTTTTACATTCATTTTTATTTTTACATATAAGGATGCTAGGAATGTCAAATTTTTAGATCAAATTTGGTAAATCATACGATGTGCTTATTGATAATTAGATATTTAAGTGTTGTTAAACGTGCTTATTTTCTATTACTGATACATCATATGATTTGCAGATTTAATCTAAAAAGTTGGTCTGTTTAACCTTACTTATAAATATATGTATCCCAATATTTATGCCTTCCTCATCTATTGCACATTGGAGCTGTACGTGATACATGAACACTTGAAAAAAAATTAACATTATATTTCTTTTCGATTTTCCCTCATTTTATGCAAATTCTTAACATTATATAATTATACCAAAATACGCTTTCATCCCTATTAAAAGTACGTGTAAACGCATATTTAGTTTTTCAAAACCGTTAGTTGACATAACTTTTAAGATGGCAAACACTAATTACCTTCTATTGATGATAGAGTTTTGTAAAACAACGTATTTTCTCAATTTGGAGTTTTTCCTAATTAAATTATTTAATTTCTGATCAAAATTCTAATAGAGAAAATTAGAGCAATATTTCCTTAAATAAAAATTCATAATCATTGGTCCATTAACTCATCAAAACCTACAACTATGTCTGTTTCTGTCAACTTCGTTAGAATTTCATCAAAATAACTTGTGTTGGAAGGACCATCGCAACAATTAGGTTAAAGTTGAGGGAGTATTGCTTTAATTGAGTTAAAGTTAAGTAATCATTTTTCCGATTAGATTAAAGTTGAGAGACTATTGCTACAATTTTTCTCATTTGGTTTTCCATGTTTTCCCTTTGATTTAGCCTCACGTGCGTGGCAGATGACTCATTTTGACGAAAGTTCTAACGAAGTTGACAAATAGCTGCACGTTTTGATGAGTTAAGAGACCAATAATCATAAATTTTAATTAAAAAATCATTACTCAAATTTTTTAATTGAGTTAAATTGTGGCATCATTGCAACAATTTACTTAGTCCTTATATACGTTCCTCAAGCACAAATGCGACGCCGAGTTCTGGTTAAGTATTCAGCCAAAACTTGACAAGCGGCGTCGTTCCACCGCAAGCTCCGGCGCGAGGAATTAACCAATAACATAACATCTCTGATCACTGACCAGTGCTCATCGAGCAGTTCAGAAACGCCCACATCACATCACAACTCAGCTATGGCTTCGGCCCCTTCGAAGCTCTACGCCGGTCACTCTCTCCTCTCACTCTCTCTCCGTCTCTAGAAATTCGCAGAGACTCGCTCCATCTTCAACCTCTAACCGTTTGATTGTGTGGTTGCAGACGATGTGAGCCTTCTGATGGTTTTGCTGGACACGAACCCTTTCTTCTGGAGCTCATCCAATCTCCCGTTCTCCAAGTTTCTCCCCCACGTGATCCCTAAACCCTAATTCCTCTTTTGGGTTTCTCATAACAATCTTAGTTTCGTTCGTTCTTTCGAATTGAAATTTAATTTGAATTCGTTTTCGTTTAGGTACTTACGTTTCTGAACTCGATTCTGCTGCTCAATCAACTCAACCAGGTGGTCGTTATTGCCACCGGGTACAATTCCTGCAGCTACATCTACGATTCTTCTTCGGACTCGAACCAGGGCTCTGATCATGGAAGAATAATGCCTGCGCGGTGCTCTAACTTGTTGCAGAAGCTGGAGGAATTCGTGATCAAAGACGAGCAATTGTTCAAAGAAGGGTCGAGAGAAGGGATTTCTTCTTCTCTGCTATCCGGGTCTTTATCAATGGCTCTTTGTTGTATCCTTTTATGCCAGTGCTTATTTAATTTTTGGGGTTTTTTGGTATCTCATTGAAAATACCCCTTTGTGTTCCATTGGCATTTGATAATGCAGTTTAAGTATATAAGTAGAGTTACCGAAAAAACTTAGGGGTAATACTTGTTGCATATGAGGAATTGTGTTAGAACTAGTACATAATAGCAAAGATGTTTTGTTTTGTTGGAAGATCTAAGCGTATCCATGCAAAGTTTGCTTAACTGTAGTTGATGAACAGATATACAGAGAGTTTTTCGATCAGGGCCACTTCATCCTCAACCTCGGGTGAGTATCATTGTAGTTTGTTGTGTCATTGTTCAATATCTGTTTATTTTGGGTGACTGGCATTGTAATCTTTTCCATACCTTGACATTGATAACGTCCTATAGTTATAACTTCTTTGCTGCAAATCAAGCTTAAGTTTCTATGGCCTTGTTTAGGTTTCATGAGCCATCAAATTGATGTGCATTTCTACGTAATATGGAATGTATGCAATTCTCTAAGCTGATTAGGTGCAATGACCAGCATACTTGCAAGTGGAATTGTTAATAACCAAAACATGGGTTAAATGCAATTTTTGGTGGATGGTTGCTGTTGGAAGCATGTACCTGTTCTCTAGATATTAGGAGAACCGTATTGTGAGACAATCTTCACTCTCCCCTTCAAGGATATAAATTCCTCTATCTTTTGATTATTTTATCACTACATTAGTGCACCCTTAGTGAGGTGGATTAAAATAAAATGAGATATTTTCTAAGCATCCAATGTTTGGCACCATATATTAACCAAACTTGTTAGCCTTTATCATTTAGGTCTGCAAAATGGATGTATGTTATTTATTTTTCTCTTATCATGTCTTACTTTCCTTTCACAAATGGGTTACCTTTTAAGTAGTGTGACTATGCATGCGATGCAGATTTTATGCTTGCAGGGATCATCGGATGGACCTGAACAGTACGTTCTTCTTTTGAATATTTTTTTTATGCGTTTTTCTTATTATCTTTCTCATCAAACCTCTTACATCAGAATTTTTTTTTTAATGTCCTTTCAGATATGTTGCAATCATGAATTCAATATTTTCTGCACAGCGTTCTATGGTATGCATTTGATCCATTTTCCTGTTTATCAAAAGCATATGTTTTTCGGGGGACTATTCTTCAATGTCAAATGCACTTTGATTTGTATCATTATTGTCCTTTCTAGTAATCTGTACTTCAATAATTATATATTTGGTTGCAAATGGCAAGGCGCTATTTGGAAATTACAAATTTTTGACTTACTGCCATAGCCAATCTTTAATTTTTCTTCTAAAAGATGATTGTATACAATCAACTGATTTGAAATCCAAATTTGCTCTCCTGGTGGAGTACAATAAACAATATCTGTAGCTGTTTGGCCAAATAACCATTTGACAGTTTCTCCCAGTTGCTTTCTCTCTCATTGTTATGCATTTCATTCAGTAAATATATAGTTAATTCAACCTTCCAGAAATCCAATAATTGCTTAAAAGTCACGAATATCAAATTATCATTGATTTACTTCCACTGCAGGTTCCTATAGATTCTTGCTATATGGGATCGAGCAACTCTGCCTTCCTACAGCAGGTAGCTTGTCTTTAGAGTGTCTTTTTGATATATACTTTTTTTTAGTATTTGAAACATAATTAGCTTTATTCTTATGTCAGTTTTACTGAATGCTTTTGATGGATGAGAAACAGGCTTCATATATTACTGGTGGTGTGTATCTGAAGCCCCAACAACCAAATGGACTGTTTCAGTATCTCTCGGTAGGTTAAGTACTTAAATTTGGTGATGTTGATACATCTTAACCTTGTGTTCACTTGTTTACCTTGTGCTTGGCTAAACAAAATTGATTTGGATTGGGTGTCAATGTGTCACTGTTTTCCATCTTGTGTAATCACAATTTTTTTTCTTGTTTTATTGCAACTTCTTGGGCTAATGTATTGTTTTCACTGATATGCAGACAGTATTTGCAACTGATTTGCATTCTCGAGCATTTTTACAGCTTCCTAAGTCTCTCGGTGTGGATTTTCGTGCCTCGTAAGTATACTACTTATGCTCATCATTTAACTGTCTTCATTTTGGTTGTTATTAGAAAAGAAAAGACGACGGATCTACCTAAAATTGATAATTTTCTGATCATTTTTAAGATTTAGTGCCCTTTTCCATAGGCTAGTATCAGTTTTAAGATTTAATGCCCTATTTCTGGGAGCAAAGAGGAAGGTTGTACCCATTTGCTGATCTTTGATGAAAAAATAATATTTTTTAAAAAGTACATTCTAAGTTTCTAGGCTTAACCTTTTGAAACTCATATGGTTTACAGAGATCAAAATATTGATGCGAATTAATTGTTTGAATGTGTAGTTTAGTTGGTCAATCTGTATAACTTTTGTACAAGGGTTTGTCTCAGATGGTGGTTCCCACTTTCCGGAGATTCATAGTGATATTTAGATGTTTGGTAATAATTGACCTAGCCAAATTACTTGATGTAATCATATAATTCTTTTGTAGAGAAAAAAATTTCACCAACGTATTCATGGTCGAACTGATGATTGGGTAAATGATTTTGCGTCATGATGCTCAATTTCAGTGCTTAGATTATTGTGCAAATAGGAAAAGAAGCAAGAAAACAAATGAAATTTTTTTTTTTGGCTCTACATATTCTGTGTATCATATGTTTTGATTGATTGAATTTTGCAGGTGTTTTTGCCATAAGAAGACAATAGACATGGGCTACATTTGTTCTGTGTGCTTGTCCATTTTTTGTAAGCATCACAAGAAATGTTCAACTTGTGGGTAAGTTACCTCGTCTATATGTAGACTACACTGTTAAAAGTGGATTAATCAAACCTTTGATTGACAAGAAGAGCTCGTATCATAATGATACGAAAGATGGTACAGCTTACCCTGTTTCTTGTTTTAGTTAGAAATTCTAGCTGAAGATACCCACAAACTTTTTGTTTATAGTGAGTAATGAAACTTGTGAAAAATAATTGGAAGTATTCATTTTATTTTGCTTTTATTTTTAGTAAGTTTGAGAGATCTAGGAGGAAAGAAATAAGTCACTACGTTTTGCTCTCTCAAACGAATGTTTCTCATACATGGCGGTGAAACTGATTGTTTTGTTAATAAGCAAAAGATTCACTGGACCTAGAAATGCTTTGTACTACTGTCATTTCTTACATCTCTTGAGTTGCGGCTTTGGACTTCCTGCAGGTCAGTATTTGGTCAAGCCCAGTTAGATGCTTCCTCAACATCCAACAGGAAAAGAAAGACGCCAGAGACATAATGTTAGTTCTCTAAAGCATACTTGATATTTATGTGAGTGATTTCGGGATCTTCCATATCATCTATACCAGTTAAATGCTAGCGTAATACTAAAATTGCTTTCGTTAACATTTACGGGCAGTGAGTTCTATCCATCTGGTGTTTGTTTTGTGAAAGCCGTCTGGGAACCAGTTTTGCCGAGATTCTTGCATGCCTTCTTGTTGTAGAATTTGGCCACCATAGCGAATTGCATCACCGTGTTTTGTGATGCCAAACTGCAGCATTTTTGTGGAGAGAAATCTGGCAGGGCTGATTATACAACTTATGGCGAGCTGATAGTGGTTAAGATTCTTTAAACTTTCTTCTTGTGTTCTTAAAGTAGTCATTTGCGCGCCAGAAAGAGCGGTGCATGCTTGTCCCGAATGATTATATGATGCTCAACAACACATAAGAAACTACAAATTGCATTCTATACACTTGTTTTTTGTTCTTTATCGGCAAAATTGACCTTTTCTTCCTTTTCATTTTTAGCAATTGCAATTCGTCACCGAAAATTGTTCAATAAGCATTTAGAAAACGACTCTTTCCGGTGAACATATCATCTGGCATGGGTTCGCCATATACAACATGTGGAAACAATCCATGGTTCAATACAATAAATCATTCAATGAAAACATAGCACAAACACAAGATCAAGCATTATTTACAATTATTTACATCGAACGGGAATTCTTATAAACAGGCGTGACGCTATTGTACAGTTCCAATCTGAGTTTTTTGCGGCTCCCTGCCTCACATTGCTCTCATAATCACTTTGCTGCTTGTGTGCAGCCCCATTGCGGCAAATTTTAATACCGCACGGCTCCTATACAATCTGTATTACAAAGCAACATGATATTCTTAAATTAGTAAGAGATGAGCAACCTCATTCAAAACGATTTTCCTAATTTGACGAAACACGTATGAAATATTCTAGGAAAATGTACGTGATATATCTTGGATAATAATTAAGAGAAGCGATGGAAAAGACATCCATTCGTATGCCATTTATTACCAAGGATGTTGAAGATAATCGAGGCTAACATTCTTAAGAGAATGCTAAGTTGCTAACACAATAGGAAGTAGGTGGGCAAGAAATACTTACCCGGCTAGAGCAAGTCCCCAGGTGGACAACGCATAGAACAACTTCCCCGCATGCCAAATACCCAATACCTTCTCCAATTTGCTGACACCACCCATTGCTTTAGCTACAACTGCAAATTACAGATTCACAAGGATGAGCTTCAATAGACGCATTCTCTATTGCCCAATATATATTCAAAGTCAAGCCCGAGAATCATTAAACGACAGAGATCAGACTTAGAGATGAGTATCTAGTTTGAGACCTAAAGACTAAATTAGAGGCATCAAATTTCTTGAAGGAAAGAAACAGAAGTTCAATTCCATTTTCTTGGTTTATGTATCCAAGCTTATCTGATTCATCATACCCTGCAATAATTGTCTAACCGCAACGCACAACAAAAATTCGCAATTAGTTTTCAAAATTACAGTAAGCATATAGGATTGCAAACTAAGGGGTTCAACATGATTCATGTAGAAACATGTACATAACCAATTATAGCATATTTGGGTTAAGACATTACAAGCACATGGAGAATCAATTGAGAGAGAAGAATAAAAACTTACTTTTCTGCAGCTCCTCCGGCGTCAAATTCTGCAATTCCAAGGAAGCAAAAAATCATGAGGCCAAAATGAGCAACATCAAACATCAAGCAAAAAGCTTTCGAGTGGATACGTACCCGAGCTTTGGGGTTTGACACAATACACTTAGCCATAAAATTGGCAACCCCATCCACCACATGCTCCTCACTAACAACAACATAGTTCTCATTGTCAATCCCACTCCTCTCCTCGACTTTACCTGGAATCATGTCATCCGTGATCCACACCCACCAACTGGGTTCTTCATTGTCGATTTTGATTAGAACTTCAGCTTTCTCCAAATCGCTTTCTAAAATCCAAACATAAATTATAAACAAACCCAATAATTATTATGTGGAATCAAATAGTGTATATACACACACATATATATTTCTATATATTTATGTACCTGTGGCTGGCTTGAAAGGAAACTGATATTCATCAATGGATTCCTTCTGAAGAGCTTCGATTCGAGTCAAGAAGCTGTTCGATTCCACCGTCGCCACTAACCGAGCATGCAGCTGAAATTTCAAAATACCCAAATGCAATTTCAGTTTTTGAATGAAAATTCGAAATCTAATACACAAAGTCAACAAAAGGGTGTCGAATCGAATGGAAAACAATCGACCCCAAATTGCTTACATCAGGAGGGCAATCGTCCAACACCGCAGGCGACTCGGACAGGTTCTGAAGCAGCTTGAGATTCTGCTCCAGCGAGTTCCTCAGCCGCCGATTCTCCGCCCGCAGAGCCTCCAGTTCTTCGTCGGAAACCCCACACTTGGTCCCCTCGTGGTCGTCGTGGTGGAGGTGATGGCGGCCGTGTTCCATGGCGGTCCACGCCACGTCGGCAACCTCCATCACCGTCTTGGCCACCTCTATCGCTCCATGTCCTCCCATCGCTCTCTCTCTCTCTCAAAAGTTTTGGGTCGCCTTGCTTGCTTCGTTTGTATTATATATCAGAACCCGAAGACGAAGCAACCGGATCTTTGCTGGATTTGGGAGGCAAAGGTTAAACTTGTAATTTAAACTAAGAACTATTAGACCAAGAGTCATGCTATTTATACCATGTTTTTGTACTATATTTTCATACCACCTTAACTGGTATTTGATGTGGACAGCTGCATCATTTGAATTAATCAGATTTTTAAATTTAGTTCATTATTTAATAAATTAATAATTAAGAAAAGCTAGTTAATTAAATGATGATTGTGGTATATGATGAGTCTTTCTCTTTCATTTCCTTGTGTTTTGCAAATTTTTCAAATGATATGGACAGATGTCACCTAAGGTGGTATAAAAATATGATATGAATAGCATTACTCTACATTAAAACTCTTAAATTTTAATTCAGAAACAATTTTTTTGCTTTAACTATCCTGCTTAAATTTTTAGTTTGAATTTAAAAAAAAATAAATTCAGAATAATTTTTTTTAATAATTTATTTGAATACAAAAATTAGGTATACTATCTTAATTTAATTAAACCGACATCTTAAAACTTCTAGAACACTAAGAAAAAAATATGAAACACATGAAAATAAATTTTGTATTATTTTAGTCGTTAGATTTAAATTTAAATGATTTAGACTTTTTTTCTTTATTATTAAATATGATCATATTAAATTTTAAACTCATAAATTTTAATTCAGAAACAATTTTTCTGTTTTAACTCTTCTACTTAAATTTTTAGTTTGAAATTATTAAAAAATAAATTCAGAATAATTTTTTTAATAATTTATTTAAATACAAAAATTAGGTAGACTATCTTAATTTAATTATACCAACATCTTAAAACTTCTAGAACACTAAAAAAAAAAAAATATGAAACACATGAAATTAAATTTTGTATTGTTTTAATCGTTGAATTTAGTAAATTTATAAATATAAAACAAAACAAAATATACATCTATATCTTTACTAATTAATAAAACAATCATTATCAACCAAAATCTTATGAAATTACTAGTTTAACCCTCTAATTAAAACATAACATGAATAAGAAATATGGAGTAAAAATGTAATTTTACATAACTAAATTTTACTGTTTTTTTTTCACTCTCTTCCTTTATTTCAAAAACAAAAAATAAAAAAATTTCCCACACTTTATATGCGCCCATATGCTAATCTCTATTAACGCATCCCGAACTCTGTGGGGGCGTTTGTTTGCCCTCACTAAGCTGGACTGGACTGGACTGGACTAGCAATTAGTCCAATACTGTGTTTGTTCCATGCTGAGACTAACATTAATGAGACTAAAGGGGACTAGCATGGACAAAACCCTTCACTAAGAGGTCTTAGCGAGACCCCCCAATAACCATGGGACTAGCTAAGACTATCTTCTCTTTCTCGTCCTCGTCATGCTCAACGACCACTCTCGACAGACTCCTCGTCATCTCCGGTCACCTAGATCAATCATTAACTTTCTGACTCTCTTTCAGATCCATTTCACAACCAACTTTCATACAAAATATACCAAATTGAAGCTGGGAGTGACAAGATTACGATTTTACCTGAATCGAGGCCAAAATGTGGTCGAATGTGGCTGGAAAATGACCTGGAAGTCTCGGCCTGTTTGGGCTTCTTCAAATCCATGACAGATTCGAGCATTCAAAGCTAAGATCTCAGTCCAGGGATGGTGATGAATTTTTTGGCGGTGCTAACTTCATCCAATTTAACGAGGAAATGGTAGGAAAAAATGAAGAAAAATATAAGATCATAATAAAATATTAATAATTTATATATTAAATAAATATTATAATTTATTATTATCCAGCTTTTTAGTCTAATACTGCACCAAACGCTTCACTAAGTTAGTCCAGTTTAGTCTAGTCTAAGCCAGTCCAGCTTAGTCCTTGAAGCTAATCCAGTCCGAGATAGTCCGAACCTGTAGGTATTAGCACCACACGTAGAACCGTAAGTGCAGCGTATTGCGATGTGAGCGTATACAGATTAAATTAACCCCGTCACTCTCCCCCGTTTCCTTTGGCCCCCTGCTCCCACGTGAGAAGAAGCTGCTTCTTTCTTAGAGGAAGAGGGAGTTCACAGTAATGGCGGAGGATGCGCAAGATAGCGAGAGCTCTCTGAAGGAGGCGCACGATGTCCAGTCCCAGATTGAGAGTGCTATGCGCTCACGCGTCCCTTACTTCAAAGAACAATCCGAGTAATCTCTCTCTCTCTCTCTCACTCTTTCTCTCTCTTTCTCTCTCTTCTTACTGAATTTGTGTACTTTTGATGAATTTAATTTAAATATTAGTTGTGGTTTTTCTTTTCTTTTATGCCGGAATGTGTGATATAAATTCATATAGGATTGATTTGCACTGAAAGTTTGTAACTTTGATTTGTGTGTTTAGGGTTTAATTATGCGTATTATAACTTAATTAAGGGCCAGTGTGTAGATGCAAGTGTGTGGTTAACTGTTTTTGATATGCTTTGTGTTCTTAGGATTGGTGTGTATAGTTGTTTTGTTTAGGGTTTTGAAGCTTCTGAGTGTTCTATACGCTCTATGCTTCGTTTGGGTTCGCAGAATTACAACGTAACGGACAGAATAAGTCCTTTTGCGCTGGTGTAGGTGAACTTTGTACATTTATGTGAAGTAAAGCACACCTTGCACTGTCATATCTCCGCATTTGTTCTTTCGAAAAACAAAGCAAAAGAATGTAGGGCAGGGAATTCCTTTCAGTAATCCGAAGCTTAGGATTGTTCCAGTCATTTCCTGCTACGGGAATTATTTATTCTTTAGCATTCCTTGCTCTAATTTGTATGGTAATACCTGACTTTCTTTATCTATTTTAAACCCTAACCCTGGAAACTGCAAAATGAGTTCCAAGAATTCAACTTCCCAATGATTTTGTATCTGCTTAGCGACAATTCTCAAAATAAGCTTTGGTGGATGAAGCCAATGCGCTCAACTTTCGCGGCCATGTTGAGAGATTTCTCTTCCCAATCGCAACTGGATTGCAGTCGTTCATTGTTTGAAGTTTGATTGAAATTATTTCATAGGGAAGCTCAAGAAAGTTGAAATTGTAAAGTTAGTTTAGATGCACTTGTGGGCTGAGCATGTTGGACCCCCATCCAAGGTTGGATTACTTTATAAAGTTATATTTTCATATGCAGTTCTTTGACTTTTGAGGGCGTCCGAAGAGTCTTAGAGAAAGACCTGGGCTTGGAGACATTTGCGTTGGATGTGCACAAAAGATTTGTTAAGGAACATTTGGTGGAGGTATATCTTTCATAATCGAAGCTCGTTGTTCTCATTTAGCATGACTATAGTGTACTTGGTCATAACATCATCATTTTTATTATGTTTTATTTGAAGCACTTTGAATTATGTATTGAAGAGTTTCATGGTAGCTTATTATGTTCCCTTTGTTAAATTTCGTATGGGCCATTTACTGTTTCTTAATACTTTTTCATTGTAGTTTTTATGTGTGTCAATCAAAAATAGTTCCCTGCAAATGATTTCTGGACTGGAAATATTCTTACGTTTTAAGTTAAGTTTTCTGGACTGGAAAATTTTTATTTTCCCTGAATGGAACTTTTTTCCTTCTGCAGGAAATTTTCTAGATTCATGAGCATTTAGTTTTTCTCAAGTAATTTCTTCTAGAGGAAACAGATACGTATCATTAAATTGATTTCTTTATGAAATGAGAATCAAGTAAAAGATATGCTAGAAAGAGTTGCCTAAAGTGAAAGTTTAGAAATTTTCAAAGGCTCCACTTGTTTTTTGTGAATTTGTTTCCAAAAGGGTAAGGCTTTTTATTTCAAAAGCTTTCTTCATTTATGTTTTATGTTCGATGGATTGAACAAAACTACCCTTTGGATCATATTTGTTTTTTTTTTCTCATTGGTTTTTGTTGGCGACTTTAACTCAACAAAAAAAAAAAACTATCTTGTCTTGTTCTTGAGAATTTCATTTAATTGAGATAATATTAAAAAAAATTTCTGACCCAGACATTTCCTTTTGAACTATCTAATGTGGCTAGCCCTGGCCCATCTGGTCTTGGATTTGGGCTGGGCTTTGACTCTATGGAAGGGGCAGGGGCAGGCCACCATCAAGTCTCAAGCCTGAGGGCCATATGCTGATGCATTTACCCAAGCTAGTTTTACACGTTTCCCACAGTTGCCATTTGATGGTTCTGGGTATTTTGATATTGGCATTTTCTTGATTACTTTGAATTAATAGGGTGTGGTCTCTGGGACTCTTGGCTATGGCTTGGAACTTCATGTTTGTACCCGTGCATTTGTAAATTAGATCTAATGATTGGGGAGTGACTAGGTGTCTGGGTGCTTTAATTTTTCCCAGAGATGAAGGTTGGATGTTACTGCAATGTATTTTTTAACTGGGGTGCATGCATGTTTACCAGATCTAATACCCGTCTGCAGAATTTCTGTGCCTAGTCCAAAGTACTAGCAGGGCTTCAAATTAACAAAAAAATCTTTGAACCAACAAGCCGAATAGGAGACCCAGCAAGCAATATGGTTTAGAGCAAGTGATGCTTCACCATAACCCTGAGGGCATCTTCCATGAGCTTGTCAAGTGCCACTGGTCCATTCAATCACCATATCCAAAATGTCCTCACTCCAGCTTATCCCAATGACTTATCATTAGGAGCCTGCCACTTTCCCTTTTGCTGCGAATGTTATATTTCTTGTGTTATTTCATTTTATGTTGTATTGATTTTTTAGTTTTATTTATTTATTAATTGGAGTCCAAATGTTTTCTCATGAAATATGTCATCTCCTAATTGCATTTATTCTTTTCAAAATGCTAGGTCTTAGAAGGTGCTGGTGATGACAATACCTCAAAGACATCAGGGGAGATGGATGGAAAAAGTTTGGTTAAAGGAGAAGTAGCAGAATCACTCAAAGGAAAGTCAAATAAAGACGCGAAGGAAACCTGTTCAGAAGATGAGGAGAAAATGGAAGACTCTCCCGTAATGGGGCTTCTGACAGGGCATAAAGTGGCGAAAACTGGAACCGAAGAAACTAAAACTACCAACCAAAATAAGGCTCCAACTGAGAGTGTGATAAAGTCAGCCCTTAGAAAAAGGGGTTCTTATATCAAAGCTAATTCCGAGTATGCTACATCTTTCTTTGAACTGATTATCGGTTATTGCTTTTGACAAAAGAAAAAAGATTACCGGTTATTGCTGTCAATTGCATTAATTTACTAATTTTCATGTATATTCTTTCTCCCCTTTTGATTGGCTCTTTAGATGTTAATTTTCAATGTTGTCAGTTGAGTAAATGAAGTACTCATTATTTATTCCTTCCTTTCACTACAGAAAGATTACTCTGGCTGGACTTCGCCGACTTTTGGAGGAAGATCTTAAGCTTGAGAAATATACTCTTGACCCCTTTAAGAAGTTTATAAGTCAGCAACTAGACGAGGTAAGATAATTTTGTGTCAAGGCATCTTGAAATTATAGAAGTGAATACGTCTATCGCTGGTAGTCATACTTTGCATATATTCTCTTTTTCAGGTTCTAGAATCTTGTGAAATTTCTGAACCTGCTACAACTGCCAAGAAAAATGTTCTGAAAAGTGCTCAAAGAAAAGCATCCACTAAGGTCAGAAGTGATGAGAGTTCTGGTTCTTTAGATAATGAAGGTAGTGAGGAAAAAGATGAAATAAAACCTAGAAGCAAAAGTGCTCCAAAAGGAAAGATGCAGAAAAGTGCTCAGAGAAAAGCATCCACTAAGGTCAGAAGCAATGAGAGTTCTGGTTCTTCAGATAATGAAAGTAGTGAGGAAGAACATGAAGTAAAACGTAGAAGCAAAAGTGCTTCAAAAGGAAAGATGCAGAATACTGATGGGCATAAGAAAAGGAAAAGAATGGCTAAGGAGACTAACGTCTCTGGAAAGAAGAGGATCAAGCCTCCTCAAAAACAACCAGAGGACAAAAGTGACACAGAAGACACTGGAAATGTCTCTGAAGATGATCGTTCTCGGTCATCTGCTGAAAAACCTATAAAGGTAATTACCTTGTATGTTTCTGAAACCACCATAAAAGTAGGCTTTGTCTATTATTGAATCATACTGTTTATCAAATTGTAGAAGAAAGAAGTTTCAACAACACCTGCATATGGGAAACGTGTGGAGCATCTACGATCAGTTATCAAAGCATGTGGAATGAGGTTTTTCATCTTTGATTCTATGCATAGATAGATTTGCATCCTTGTCATTGTTACATTATGATGTTTATTGTCTGTTATACAGCGTGGCCCCCTCAGTTTACAAGAAAGTCAAGCAGGTGCCTGAGAACAAACGTGAAGCTCACTTGATAAAGAGTTAGAGGAGATACTCTCTAGAGAAGGATTATCTGCACATCCCTCTGAGAAAGGTGAGTTTTTAAATGTAGCCTTTGATAGCGATACTTGGAATATCAACTGTGGATATGATTTGATATAATTTACCAAGATGTTATAAAAGGGAAACCTAGCTAGGTTTGATCTGGGAATTTGGGTTTAGGATTGACATGGAAGTTGTGATGCACAATGTTACTTGAAGTCTTTGAGAATGCCGAATCATAATCCTTAGTTTGTCCTTATCATCTTCACATGCATGGCAATGTCAATCCCCATGGATGGCATCGGATTATGTGGTTTCAGATGAGCTTTCAATGGGTTAGAGACTGAGAGCGTTAATTGGGTCACATATGTTGACCCACATATGTTGATTCTTTAGTATACAAAGAAATACAATGAATGCATTCAGGGCCAGTTTGGGATTACTGTGCTTTTTTAAAAATCTATTTCTGTTGTGCTTTAAGAATATTCAGTTGTAAAATAAAGCAATTGAGCGTTTGATAAACTGTATTTTTAAAACTGTTGTGAGTATAAAAAGTAGTGTAAAAGCGTTTGGTAAATTATACAATAAGTGATATAATTGTATATAATGACAAAAATGGACATGGTAATGGGGTGGGGGCGACGCTAGTGGTTGCAATTGTGATGGTGGTGGTATAGGCGGTGTTGGCGGTGGCGGTGGCAACTTTGGTTTTTGTGGTAGGTTGGTGATTGTAGTTGTAGGTGGTGGAGATGATGGACGTGACTGTGGCAGTGGGGGCGGCGGTTGTGATGGCATGGCAATGGTGAGGGTATGGTGGTGGTGCCAATAGTAGGGTGTGGTGGTTGGGGTTCAGAAGTGACAATTGTGGTAAGGGTGGGTGCAACGGGGGCAGTGGTGGTTATGGTGGTGGTGGTGATGATTGCAGTGGTGGCGGTGGTGACAACAATGGTGGTGTAAGGTTAGTGGTTGTAATCGTAGTAGCAGCGGTCACTTTTTCTCTCAAAGGGATGAAATGTGTGTAGAAGGATAAATATTGTCTTTTTTAAAAATAATGAGGGTAACAAGAATTGAAAATATTTATTAAAGGCTCAACTCCGCTTTTTATAAAAGCAGCTTGCTTTAGAGACTATTGTCTGGGGGTCGTTGCTTTTAAAATAAGCATGATATTTTAATTTTACCAAACACTTTTTGTTGCCTAACTTTAAGGTGAAGCATTTTTTGGTGAAAAAAAAGGAATACCAAACGGGGCCTCATTGGGTCATGTGGTTATTTATGAGTCTTCCTACTTATTTGCCAGAAAATACCTTAGAAATTATTCTTGCGAGTGTTAATCATTCTCCATGAATTAGGTCAAGAGACCCACCCCACCCTTACAGTCAAGGGTCTTATGACCTTCCATGGGGGCGTGGTTTCACCATACGTCTTTTACCCTGACTTTGTCACGCTTGTAAGGATTCTTACCATCTATTATCTTGTTTCAGAAATCAAGGAAGTCAAAAAGAAAAAGGAAAGGGCAAAAGAGCTCGAAGGCATTGACATGAGTAACATTGTAACGAGCTCACGTAGAAGGTCCACAACTAGTTTTGTGCCTCCTCCAAAGCCCAAAATACAAGTTGAAAGTGATTCTGATGATGCTGAAAGTTCAGATGATGACAATGATGAAGCTGACAACAGTGACAAGGAAGAGAATGAGGTTGAGGACAAGGACATTGAGGATAATGGTAATAGTGATGACAACCATAGTGATGAGGGTAAGCGTTAATTCATGAACTTTAATGTCATTTACCTATTATAAATGAAAGCTAGGGCAATGAGGATAAGAATTTTATGATTTACGGTGCTTCTGCAATGTTACATATGCATTCATTATGCCATTTGACAAGGTCAAATCATTACGGGTTGTGGCTTCCGTGCTTTACCAACGATTCTAGCATTTATATTAATCAAAACTGGTAAGATTGTGTAACATCCTACATATGGAGCTAATGGAGGTATTCGATGTCAAAAACAAAGATGGTTTTTTTTTTTTCATTAAATGCTTGCTCAACCTCCATTTAATTTAAGAAATCTCTGCCCTCAGTTAGTTCATTGATCAGAGTTATGAGATATCAGTGTAAAGAATAAGGTTCAGCAAAATGAAGTAATGAACTTTAGGATATAGTAATTTGAGCAGATTAAGCTTGTAACAGGGTGTCGTAAATACAAGTTCAAATGTTCATCTTGGTGGTATTAGTACATATGCAAGTATACTAAAAATCACTGAATTCATACGAAGTGATTCTGACGAAGTCTTTCCTTAATTTATGCAGATGAAGCTGATGACAGTGATTAAGTTTTAAACTATTTATGTACAATGTAGAGTCAGAATAGCCTTATTCTGATATTTCTTATGGGTGCGGGACAGAATAGCAGTGATGAAGTTGGACGAATAACTTTCAGTTATATTACCGAATAATCTTGTTACTCTTGCCACCATAACAGCTCTTTGCACATCAGAAGCAGGGATAATAGTTCTCTCAACAAATTGGTTTCTTCGGGTGGTTAAAGCAGACACCCATCTTGCTGCAGTTTGCATAAAACCTTTCTTTTGAAATTGGATTGAGCAACATCCGACAAGCATTTTTCTCAACTTTATCTGCTTTTAGTGACATGTATTGCGACTTTATTGTTCCCTTTCGATACCAGGGTATTTTTGTAGTGTTCAATTTACTGTATCTGGAAGATTGATAGTTAGTCACGGTTAATGTGAAATGCAAGCTGTTGTTATGTACGAAGGATTCTCCATGATGCAAATTAAGAGTGATCACTCAGGCAGAGGATCTTTTCACCTGTTTGAGATCAATGTCTGTATCTAACATCCCGACGTCGTAAACTAGTTTGTTTATGGTTCTGGATGAATGAGTTCAATAGAGTCTAGGGACCAATTCGATCATGTATTTTTTATGCAGGATTTCTGTGTGTCAGTGCACAATTTTCTGTTCACCGTGATTGTTTCAACTTTGCCTGAAATTACTTAGTGATGGTTAATCCTTACTGAATTTCGTCAAATATCCACACCTAGGAACATTCGTCTTCTTGTATGCAGTTCAAGTAATGCAGTTTTGTGAACAACGACTGTCAATTTACACTCAGTAGCGAACCACGACGACAGCATTGAAGGGGGAAGTTCATTCTCATTGTCCAACAGAACCTTCAAGCTAAACCTGTCATTGTACTGGTTAGGCCCCGAGGGACCTTGAGCCTGAACAATTTGCCTGCAGATTAAACAGGAAAGGATGCATTAGGGTCAATCGCATTTTTTCTTCTATGACCGTCAACTGCTTGAGAACTTCAGCATAAAAGCTAATGTTACCCAATCATTCAGATTTCAACGAAGCAGAATTCACGCAAACAGCTATCGTACGTCTTGAGTACTAAGATTTGAAGTTTAATTCGATAACGCTTTATAGATATATTCTACTACATCAATCCAGATAGGCATTGAAGGGATCAAGTTTACAAACTTGGCAATCCCTTCGGTGGATGCAGGATCCAAATAGTTCACATTACGTTGCTTGTCTGGAGAGGCAATGTATCTAAATAGTGACAACGGCAGTTCAGATCCGGTTGCATTAAACGCAAATAAACATGTATGAAGATGCGGAATGTTCTTGTTGATTTTCACTACTTAAACCAGTACACCTGAAACAGCTTGAGTTGTCCCCATTGGCTCCTGAGTGAAATTTCAACATTTTGCTTAACAGACAAGAAACAATAAAAATACAAGAAAACACACCACGGGAATGCAAAGGAATCTTATACTTACGGTGAAGAAATCAAGATAAGCCTTCTTGTCATACTGCTTCTCCCTGACTTCTAAATACTGTGTTACAATGCCAGAAAATCAAGTTCTGTTACAAGATACTAATCGTACTAATTGCAAGTTGACGAAAGTCACTGGAACGAGATTCTAAATGAGCAATTGAGCATTTCAAAAGCTCACAACTAGAAGTAGTAGAACAACCAGTGAAAAGGATGAATTGACATATTGTAGCAATTTCGGGTTCCAAAAGTTCTGAGCTTGATGCTATAAATTTGACGTATTGTGAGTTCCCTTCTACTGTAACACAAAGTGCCGAATGGCTAAAGATGTAAACTTTGGAACCTTGAACAATTTCAGGAAAAGCAATGCAGTCATAGAAAAATATGTGCACAACAGCAGCGCAACAAATCATATGACCAGCAAAAAGACCAAATTACGGTGAAAACAACCTTTTGATATGTAAGAATCTACCGTTACAGCAACTTCTTGATCTTCCTTCTTCGAGATCTTGTAGGCAACGCCCCACTACAAACTCAAAAACCAAAAGGGATTACAAATAAAATTGTATGCCGTCTGATTTGATAATTTCAAAACATAACAAAATCACTACAGCACCACACTCCTAGTTGACAAAGCGATATACTAAACTAATTTGATGTATGCCAAGGGGCATTCGAACTCAGGCAATACTTGGACTAGGATATGAAAGAAACTGAATTTCTTGTGTATTCAATCATGACAGTACAAAAGTAACCCAACTTAGGGAGACATGTAAACACAAGCACCTATTAGAAGGAATTATGTATCTTCAATAAAAAAGACTAACAGAAAAATATGAAATTGAAAGACAATAACTCCAAATAGTATTGAAAATTTTGAAACAGCAACTTACACAGACTTCTCCTTCTGCGGGTTCCAATGTGACTGTTCTTCCTGCATACTCAGGCGTCCCTCTATGGTCCGTAATGCCTAATAACAACAAACCCACCAAGCAAATTGAACAGATTGCAGAATACAATATTTGTATATATGTATGCATGTAGAGAGAGAGAGAGAGAGACCTTGGTAGAAGACACGGCGATAGCCTTTGTTGAAAGCCGGCAAGGCGCTCGTCGTAGTTAAAACCAGCCTTCCAGAGAAGAAAGCCATACCCAAATACCCATATCGTCAGTTTTAGCTTTTCTGATCAAAATTATTCCCAGCTCGTCACTTCTTCCACAGCATGAGGAGAAGTGGATTACAGGGAGTTGGGTAAAAACGCTGATGTAACCTTGTTTATGGAGAGCGAAGTAGAGTAGGAACAAAGAGGGGCATTGTTGTGAGCGCCTATGCCATGTAGTTTCCAATCTCATTTTTCGCTTCCAATGGAAAGTTGTCATGTCAACACAAATTTTGCATATGTAAAATGCATTGTTCTAAAAATCTCTATCTAGGTATTAATACCTAAATGTTTGTAAATTAAGAAATGGCGCCTAAACTGCCCAAACCTGTTTAGACACTTGTCTAGGTTGCAACACACTTAGATAGAAAATATATAACTTTCCTTTTGCATATTGTTTCCAATAAATTGTAAGAAACTTATTGAACACTTAAATAAACACACATTATATGTTTGCTCTTCATGTTTTCATTATGATCCAATACTTCATAATATATATGTCATTCTATTTTCTAGTTTATGATGAAATTTTATATATTTTAAGCATAAACAGACACTTATTTACACGAAATACAACAGATTTACTTAAATCCGCCTAGTCCGCTTAGAAGCCCACCTAGGCTTTGCCTATCTGCTTAGGCGCTAGGCCCCAGCCCTCCTCTTGACTAGCGCTCAACGTCTTTTAGAACCTTGGTAAAATATGCATAAAAATAGAACCATGTTATTCATATCATTTTTGTATAGAGGATATTATTTTAAGATAGTATTAAGTACGGATAAATACCCAACCTTTAAGAGCACGTCTATCCCAAACCCAATTGCGTGATAATTATTGTCCAAAATCAAATAAACTAGCTCCAACCCACTCCAAAAGCTTGGGCAATGAATAGGCCCAAAAGTGCTGGACCAAGCAATCGATGTCTGAACCAACGCTCGAGTGTAAGTTCATGTTATGTTGACATCAGCCACATTCTTATTATTATTTTTTTTTTGCGTAAGGTGCGTGCATAACACATGCTTGTAGCGGGCAAGTTGGTAGACAAAAAAGGCTGATGGGGCCCAACTTGCAGCGCACTCGGCATTGATTATGCATTCCAACGGTAAAATATATGGATAGTTGGATTTCCAACAGTAATTTTTTTTTTTATCATTTCTAATTCAATAGCTAGTACATGGGGTGAGACGTAGGCAGTTGGATTTCTAACTCATATAACCTAGTAGTCCATATTAATCCGTCTTTTTTAGGAATACATAATCAAAATAGGGAAAAAAAAAAAATCCTACTAGCCGTTGTGCCCACATGGCACAACTTGGGTTGTTGGATTGCACAAATGATTGTATCCCAAGGTCCATATAAATTTGGTTAGAAGAAAAATGTTAAAAAATGAACAAAATTCTTAATGGATCATGACACATGACTAAGAGATTGGTCACAAATCTAATAAAAAATGTCCACAAAAATTGTAATTTAGGGATAATAACACTTGACGTAATGAGATTGGTTAAGAATCCTATTGAAAAATAAACATAATATCATCTTTTTATTAATTTTATAAATTAATAAATTTTTAATGCCCATCGCCCGGTCAATTCATTTATGGGATGGAGATGTACTCAGACATTTAGTATTCACTAAGACAATAAAGAAATATTAGCTACCTTCTCAATTTAACTTTTCTTGCTTACCTTTCTCACTCATCATATCACTCATCATTTGACATGTGGAATTCACTGCCACTTTGAACTATGCAATTAATTCTCTAAAAACATAATTTTTCTTTTTCTCACATATACCCTTAATTGCTTTACAAAAAAAGAAAAAAAAAACATAAATACAATTTTGGGCCCACCACCTATCCATCTCTCACCTCACCAATCATAACATTTTTAACTTCGTCCACACACAGCAGCATCCTTGCCTTTGATGTCCAACCTCACATCTTTTTTTTTTTCATTTTCAAACCTAATACATATAGCAGTAGACTTTACTCCTACTTTCCACGTTTGTAATCTCTCACAATCTGTGGCAGAGTTACAACCAATAGCATCACTGTCGCCATCTCCCCATGATCACGTTAGAATCACTGTTGTCGTCTCCCCATGATCGTGTTCTACCCAACTTTTCTTCTCAAAGCTTTCCTCTTGAACACTGGCGGCCGCCATGGCCAATGATTAGCCACATCAACCCTTTATTCCCGCCATTAACAATAATTTTTCATACAACTTTTTTGAATGCTTGTAAATTCAGTATTTATCAATGAATGTGGATTGTGGTGATGATTGATTGTTAAGACTTGGAAATTCTCCCATCAGAAAACATTACAGCCTAAAGGAATTGGAAGGGACGAGAGAGAGTTTGAATTTATTATTTATTTTATTTTATTTTATCAACTTTATTATGGGTAAAAGAGGAAAGAAAGAATTCATGTTTTCAGAGAATTAATTTCATAGTTTAAAAAAGTAGTAGTGGAGTCCACAGGTCAAATGATGAGTGGGAAACGTAAGTAGGCAAAGCTAAATGGGGAAGGTAACTAGCATTCTTCAAGGCAATAATGCCTCTTGTCCAATTGCAATAATGGCCTCTTGCCCAATTGTTTGGGCAATTATTGCCCTAAGGGGTGGAACTGCTCTAAGAGTGATTTCAAATTGGATCACCCCTATGAAATGTTCTAAATAACAATCTAAAGAGTTAAAAATTAAATATTTGTTAGGTCACCAATGTTAAGTGATGACGTAAACAAATACTTTCAAATTGGATCACCCCTATGAAATGTTCTAAATAACAACCTAAAGAATTAAAAATTAAATATTTGTCAGGTCACCAATGTTAAGTGATGACGTAAACAAATACTAAAACTGGTTTCCACTAATTGTCGTCCTTAGAGCCCTACATACTTAAATTGACCCGTTTCAACTAAGTTTAAACCTAAATTTGTGTTGCTAAAAGAAGTTGATTTGGTTACCCAAAGTTGCACGATAAATGACATGAAAGGTAAAATACATTTCAATATTTGTCCATGCCACCACTTAACGCTACTGATCTAACAGATGTCCAATTTTCAAAACATTAGGTAATTATTAATAATGTTTTAAAAAATTTGTGACCAATTTGGAATCACCAATATTTTATCCCTTGAGGTTGTACAATTAAAACACCATGCATATACCTAATATACGTAAAATATATAAACGATAACTTGAAGAAGCTCCAGTAACAAGCATGGAAGTTGACAACATCGAGAAGAAAACATCAAGTCTTCGATGAACTCCTAGCCTTAAGACAATGTTCTATTAGAAGCCTTTGTGTCATGTGTTTTAGGGTTCACAGGGATCGATATCTATATGGGAACTTTAACGAAAAACTCTTGGTACTATTCACTTTAACGAAAAACCACATTTTTAATAACCATATGATGATGTGGCAAAGTATCATTGGTTAAGTGATTGAATAGATTGAGTTAGTAGGATAAAGTTGTTGGTGAAGGTATTTGAGTCTTTTGCAATAGATGGTTGTTACTACAAAAGGTAGCTGTAAGGCCATTTTCCTTAGTATGTTGGACTCAACTTTTCTGAGAAATACACAAAGCATTTTCTTTCATCTTCTGGTTAACTCATCATTCTGCCATTGTTCCTTTCTTCAATTCTTCATAATCTCATATGTTAATATGGTATCATCGTTAGGATTTGGCTCGTTACCGTACTTGATCCTGAAGGGTCTTCCGCTGTATTCGTCGAATTGGTTGATGATTTCTTGATCAATTGGGTTGCTGGTGCCTGTTTCTGGAGTTCAGAGTGCTGGGTTTTAGTGATTTGCTGATGGGTTAAGTTGTATCAGGTGATATTGTTCAAATTTTTCATCCGGTTTGTTCAATAATTTGTCGAATGATGGCTGGGTATCTGCACTATGATTGGATTGAGATTCTGTTATATTTCTATTGCTTTGGGAATTCTGTTGTGTTCTTTCTTGAATTTGTGGTAGAAATTTGATATGGGTGTGTTGAAATAGTTGATTGAAGTGTTGGAATTACAGCTTCAAGAAAGTGTCAATCTTTCTATGTTCAGGATTTGTTTGCATAGAGTGTTATTCTCTATGGTAAAGTTGTTGATCATATAATTTCTTGTTTTGTGAAAGTGTCGATCTTTCAGTCATGATTGCTCCTATAATCAAAGTTGAAGGTGTTTTGGGCATTATTACTATCAGGATTAGGGAGGATAATTTTGCAAAATGGGCATTTCAGTTTCAGTCTGTCTTACAAGGGTATAAATTGTTTGGTCATTTTGATGGCTCAACTCCGTGTCCAACAAAGTTTATTATAAGTCCTGATACTGGTGTCACTAAGGAGATTACAGTGGAGTATCTTGAATGGGAAGCAATTGATATGCGTTATTGAGTCTCTTACTTACTACTTTAACTGATGAAGTCATGGAATATGTGATTGGTTGTAGAACAACAAATGAAGCCTGGATTAATCTTGTAGATCGATTTGCTTCTGTTTCAAAATCAAGAGTTAATCATTTGAAAACTGAATTACATACAATCCAAAAAGGGTTAAATACAATTGATAAATATCTAATGAGATTTAAACATATTAGGTAACAACTTAGTGCTGCGGGTGAAATGGTCTCAGATAATGATAATGACATAATGATTGCTGGTCTTCTGGATTGCCAAAGGAGTATGGGGTTATTCATACTATTATTTTGGCTAGGGAATCTATACTTACTTTGAAAGAATTTAGAGTACTACTGCTTGGTGCTGAGAAAGAAATTGAGGGAGAATTGAATGCAATCACTTAGAATATGTCTGCTTTGTATGTTCAAGGATCTAGTTTTGGTTCAAGTTCTAGTTTTGGTTCTAGTTCATTTGCATCAAGTTCAAATCCTCAAAGTCATGGTCATATTCCCACTGTAATTGTAGGTACTATCACTGCTATGTCATATGGTTCAACTTCATCATTTCATGCAGATTAATAACCATACTATTCTCTTGCTAAGTTTTATGGTTATGGGTTTAATGCTCATTCTGGTGGCCAGAATGTACAAAGATCACAGTCTTCAAATTTTCAATTTCCAACTCAAGGCAATCAATATAGAGGAGGACATAATTACAGAGGTGGAAATAGTTACAGAAATAACAATGGCTTTAGAGGAAGGGGATACACTAATTCTGGGAACACATCTA